CCAGTAAAGGAGCCAGTCAGTCAGTAGGTCATGCAGGCTGTCCATCTGTCTGGCAGTTTGAATGAGTTTTGGAGCAGCTATCAGCAATAAAGAGCACACAAAGTCTTAAATTTAGACTCAAAAGTTCATTTATAAAGGAAACTGTAGATTTTCCCTCAGCAGTTATTAAAAATAAGATCAGTATTCATGACATCTTTTCATTAAACAGGCTAATGCTCAGTGAGTTTTCCAGAGAACGGGTAATTCCTTATACTACACTTCATATACAAGCATTTATCCTACATTTGTCTTTTTATTCCACTGACTGTCCACAGACCTGTTATCACTGAGCAGCTAAAGTGAATCAGACAGACAAAAGGCTTCTTATCCACTACAGAAACAAGTACAGTACAGGCTCAGAGAGAAGAACTCAGCATTTCCGCAGCAGCCTCTCTATAAACTCTTGACTCAGCGTCTTTGGTCTGTCATTGAGGCAGCCATTTTCCCATGAAGGCTCACGAAATCTCTCTCCCCCGGTGCCCTGCAGGAACCAATCACATGACTTTGATGAGAGCATGCCTTTAATTTCAGTTAACTGCCTGATCAAAGAACGATTTCTCTCTTTTATTGTTCTCATTCAGGTCTCATGGAAGGCGCTCGGTGAAAATCTGAACGTTACACTCTTGTAGTTTGTCTGCATGCTGGTCACATTTAGCTGTGAAGTCACTGCAGCGCTACTCAAAGATGGTCATTTGGAAAAATTGAGGTTGTGATATAGGTTGAGATCTCCATACACACTGTTAAAAGCATATTGGTGTGTTGAGTACAGAGACTACATCAGGCCTTTCATAATTCTGACTTCTCTGACAGTGTTTTCAGATATTTGTACTGTGTCGCCATCTGCTGGAGAAAGTTAAATTTGCACACAGTTGCCAGTGGATACCAACACCTTCAACTAAGGCAGTGGTTCGCAAACCTTTTTTTTTTTTGTCCTCCTTCAGACAGGGCAACTAATGATAAAAAGGTCCAAGCTGATTTTTTATGAAATTAAGGCCAAATAGCATCAGTAAACACTTGTTTGTTAATTTCCCCTACATAAACTTGTTCCACTCTGTGTTTTTCCCGTTATACCCCACCTGCAGTGGCTCTATGCCCCACCAGTGGAGCCCGCCCAACAGTTTGAAAAACCACTGGACATTAGGCAGGAAAGATGCTGATGTTGTTTGGCTTCTCCCCCCAAAAAGTGCACAAGACATTAAAAATGATAACTTTTACTCTTCATTGTAAAAGTAGATTTAAAACTCTCTCTCACCTATATTCTTTCACAGAACAATAGTTTTTAAAATGTATTTGGAATCAAATGACAAATACAATTCAAGGCAACCCAAATCTAAAATTACATTCTATTTCATTTTGTGCAGTGAAGATGTTATTTCACAATACGACCCTTTTCACGACAGCCATTTTGACGTAAAGTATAGTTTAACACATAGTAGCGTAAACACAACAAAACATCCTCATATAGGCAGTTGTTTATTGGTTTAAGTACGTCAAGGACACAGTCTGGCTTTAATTTGTGCCTGTAGTTTTACTCTTTATACTTTTAGAAAGCTTAATTTAAGTTTTATCTTGTTTTTACATGTTTGATATCTCAAGATGAGATTTTTTTTCTCTCTCTCCCTTTCTGAGGAAGCTAACTCAGGTTTTACAGATGGTGTTGGAAATAATATTCTCACCAGGCAAGTTTCTTAATATCATAGCAAGATTTGCTGGATTAACCTGAAGTGTAATTTCAAAAATCCATAGAGCAATTTATGTTTTATTTGAAATAGTATAACTGTGTCATACTTTTTCTCTGTGTATAACAGAATTACTTTGATTCGGCAAAATAGATTGAGTAGCAGGCAGCACTACTGTGACAAGAAAGTGAAGGAAGTTCATGTTTTATTACTTTTGTTGATTATTATTTTCAGTGATGAAGTGAAATAAACTGAAAATATTAAAATTGTAGGTAATTCTTTAAGTAGTTTCTTATTTCAGAGTTTTTTTGTGTTGTGTGTTTTCAGGAGTTATGTCCAACTTTGCTCCAGATATTCAATCTGGTTAAACAGGAAGTTTCATAATAGCAGTTGTGAAAGAAGAATTCAGATCCTTTATTTGAGTAAAAGTACCAATCAACAATGTAAAAACACCTCTAAAATACAATTTCAAGGTCCAGTATTTAAAATAGACAAAAAAAATGTTTTGGGCTTTTCTCTATTATCTTCATTTATTTTGGTGAAATATTATATTTCTTTTTACTTCTTTGGACTGAAACAATGCTTATCATATATGAAAAGTAACCAGTTACAATTTGTCTAATAAATGTGGAATATAAAATACTTAACGTAGGATATTAAATATGAAGTCTTGCTGCCCGAAGAGGTTTAGTTCAGAACAATAAAGCATTTATTACTTGTCGTTTTCTGTTCTTTAGGTAAAACGGAAGCCTTAAACGGTCCTTTTTTGGAGTAACTAACAGTAACAGCAATTCAAAAGAATCTTGTGATCACAAATAAGTCTTTAATTAACAGGTGACCCAAAGAAGACACACTGGTGTTACAGTTAGAGTCATGTTTATTTACAGCAGAATCCTGAACGAGGAGGGAAAGAAGGGGAGAGGGCAGAGGGACAGAGGAAGGGGGTTAAAAGGAGACAAAGTGTTTTAGATCAAGCGCTTCAGGATTCATGTTTCACTACACAGTTCTTAATTTATTTATTCACCATTTTTCTATACAGAATCCATTCAGTCATAATATCAATGTACCAACAGAGCTGGAGACCTCTGCTGGAGGGGAGAAGAGGTGGAAAGAAAAATAAAAAAAAAACTAAAGCACTAAACGGGGTAAAAAGAAATCCATTTTCTATATATAAAAAAAAACTTCTGTTGTTATCACCATGATCGTCATCAATTATTTATGTATGTATATATACACACATATATATGCATATATATGTATATAAATCTATATATTTTCTTGCCATGTCCATGAAGAGGTGAAAGGGGGTTTGTGGTTCCATGATGTCCCACTTTAAACGACCGCACTGAGCGGCAGGTCGGACGTCCCAACCTGACAGCATTCAGGTCATAATATCAGTCAGAGGAGGTCAGAGCTGACCAATCGCAGTCTTTCTGACCTGCAGTCTTTGTCCCACCCACTGACGCTGCTCTGTGTAGGCGAGCTCATTAGGTCCAGTGCCTCGGTGTCGGCCAGCAGAGACTCAAAACTGCAGTAGCCCTGTTGATGCAGTCTGAGAAATGATACACTGTACACTTAACATGCACGGCCAGATAGCATTAAAAAAGTAAAAAAACAAAACAAAAAGCCAGCAAACTGCGTCGTCCGTACGTTCCTCCGACTCACTCACACTTTTTTTTTCCAGTATACATTAGATATTAACTGACAAGCACCACAAGAAAAGTGGAAGGACAAAAAGAAAGAAAAGAAAAAAGACTAAGACTGTCAGGGACCAAATGGTGACAGCAAAAACATCCTATGGGTTAGCTTTATGTTCTAATTTCCATTTTTCGATTTCTGAAGGGCATAGCTGATTTTTCTCCCCTCCCTCCAAACAGACTTTATCATGTTATTTGATCAGGCACACACACACATACGCACTTAATCATCCACCCAGAAAAAAGCTTTTGTCAGTAACTACATATGAATCTAACCACAAGTAGGTCTTCACATCCCACTGACCCTCACCTCCACGAGTCCAAACTTTCACAATAGTCAGGTCTTCATCGACTGAGGTGAAACACTGACATTTACAAAGTTCAGATGAGATGTGCTGTTGTGCTGCTCTGCTGACTTCTCTTTTGTCAAAATGTATAAAAACTGATCCAATGTCATCATGCTCAGACGTTTATAGACTTGTGAAAGCTGAAACAAGATGCTCTTAGTGTTTTTCCATGGCCATAAATACGTGTAAAATTTAGGATGTGCGCAAGAGAAACTCAGTACAAAACCCAGCATGATGTATGATGCGGTCTCATGATGAAAAGTAACATAGCATACCTTAAAATTAATTCAACATTCATTTATTTGAAAAAGAAAACACTGTTTACATTTCCACCCTCTCCGCAGAGAGGCTGATAAAAAGAAAATTTACCCCCTACTGGGTTTTCTGTAAATTTTTTTACAAGTTAGACACAAACTGTTTCCATTAGACATGTCATGCGTTTATGACAGTTTGACACACCCAGCTCAATGGAAACCTGACTATTGTCACTGTTTTTTTTAACATGTTCATGATTTCAAATTAAAACCAAGTAAAACAACTGTTCACCTGTCTGTTTCGCTCTCTCACACACACACACACACACACACACACTTTAACACTAGAGCAGGAAACTTTTTCATCTATCAGCCACTGGTGCAGATGTTTTTTTTATCCCCTCTCAGCTACGTTTACATTACACCAGCCAACAAACTTTAGAAAACAACTTCTATATGAAGGACGCTCGCCAGTCAACTCGACTGGCAGCCGAAATTGACCGAAATTCTGACTGTTGGCTGGCGTCAGTTTCCCACCCTATTCAACATGCTCCCGAACACAAATACAAACTCAAGATACCGCAAATACACATATATACAAATAGAAGCGGCCCCTGAAATGCTGGGGGCAGCTCAACAATTTATAATGCATCATTTCTGTATATGCCAAAGATAAAAGATTTTCTAAATAAAATACATAGTTATCTGTGAGGGTGGGGAATGGGGACAGCAGATGAACAGAGAGGAGGAGGGTGGGGCTCGCAGGGAGTGTCAGAGGAGCGCTGGGAAGAAGCCGTTGTGGTGGGATGATGGGACAGATGAAGACAGCGGGGAGGGGGGGAAGGGGGGAAGGGATGGAGGG